TGCATTGTATCAGCTGGCACTTGCTGTTGTCTGTAGGCAATACAGAAACGCATGTTGGCTCATGTCAGCACTCCGCTTCCCAGCACACGCGTGTTATGAGCCTTCATCAGAATACTTTGCTTTGTGTGGATGGTCTTTATCACAGATCAGAGGACGAGGGAGGCCAGACCATGCGCAAGGTATCGCTGTCCATCGTACGTCTTTGGAAATTGACCCCCAACATGCCCCAATCCAGAGACAGAAGGCAACCAAAGACCACACACAATCCCATGAGGAATATATATGAATGGATATTTTTGTGCCTGGAGTTTGGCTCGGCTCTAACTTTAGCCTGTGACATACAAGCAATTATAACTATAGCGGACGCAGGGTCTGTACGATTGAAGTCTGCCATATGATATACACACAATGCTCCTCGTAGTGGCCGTGTGATCTAAGTCGCCCCCTCCAACCCTAAATCACAAAATTCCAACACAAGCTTTGAAACGTTTACATTGTTTATTGCATTTTGAAAAGCTGATTTCAGTTTTAATATCTGTATTAGTATCATAAGACAAATCAGTATACATCCGATATACATGAGGATCTCACTGCATTAATAGTACAAGTACGCTCCGTATACATTGTAACATTATAAAGATTCTGTAACAAGTTCGGACATATCAGTGAGAAGATATATAAAATATTCACCTAGGTGGCGCTAACGAGCGTGGGAAAGTCCTATACTTGTCAGCGCCATCTGGGGGCACTACCGCCATGCAAATGTTTATAAAAGGAAACCCATAATTATTATTATTATTACATTTATATTATTTATATGGCGCCAACAGTTTGCGCAGCGCTTTACAATACAATTCAAGACAAGATGGTAAGGAGGGCCCTGCCCCTGAGGGCTTACAATCTAAAAGAGGAGGGGGAAATTATAGGTCGGTGCTCGCTATTGTGACATATTGCAGTTATTAGCGGCCGTATTTACCAATGAAAAGTGGGAAATGGAAGAAGACGTAGCTCCCAACAGTCCCCGATTTGGAGGGATCGTCCTTACTTCTGAACCGAATCCCTCCTTCCAGCTCATTTTCCCTTCATTAGAGTCTGGTATAGACCCATAGATGCCAGTTGTCCCAGGACAGTCCCGCATCTTGCACCTCAGCTCTGATGGTGGTGTGTCCTGGGCCATGTCTCGAGGTCATCATTTTTTAAATGACTGCTCATGCCCCATCACCCAATAAGGCATTCACTGAGTGATCGGAGGCTGAAAGTGTGGCGGTCCCCACATAATTAGAGGAGGGGGTTTGGGTAGGCCAATCCAATAATACGGTTCTGGTCGGGACCTCCCTATTACTGGGGTGGACTGCGGGTGGGACCAGGACTGAATTGATGGCAAATACGATAGTTGTCTGTAAAAATGTGCGATTTTGTCTAACACAAGTGTTTATACTGCACTACAGATTGTATATCACCTCTAAATGACGGCAGTTCTGATTCTGAAAATCCCGTGTAAAGGAAAAAGTAATGAAGAAAAAAATAAAAAATCGGCATATCATTATTTCCTGCCCTGTATAGAGGGGGTGCGTCCTTCTCCTACAAACTTTGTCCTAAATGATGTCCCTCTCTCTGATCACAGAAAGTTTTAGGGGTACTTCACAGCAGCCCCATTCAATGCCAGAACGCACTGCCGGCTCACTGGGTTCTGGGGCGGGAGGGGGCGTGGCGTTGCATTGAAGTCAATCGTGCCGGAACACACTGGGGCTGGAGTGAACCAGCTCTTAAGCAATGATAAGAGATAATAGAAGGGGATGCTACATAGTATTTGAGGTTGAATAAAGACATAAGTCCAACCTATTGTGTGTGTGTGTGTGTATATAGGTCCCTGCGTCATCTCATTCTTAAGAGTACCTGTACCCTTGTACATTACGGTCTCTCAGGAAATCGTCCAAAAGCTTCTTGAATGATTCCACACTATTTGCGGAAATCACTGCTTAAGGTAGCGAGTTCCAGACCCTAACCGCGCGGACTGAGAAGAACCTCCTTCGCCCCTTGTGTTTTAATTTTTTTTCTACCAGTTTTAGGTGGTGTCCTCTGGTCTTTGTTACGGAATTAATCTTAAAGAGTTTGTTGCTATGACTATTGAACATTTTGTACATGAAAATCATGTCCCCCCTTAATCTCCTTACTTCTAACGTAAACATATTTAAATTTAGTAGCCTTGTCTCATGGCTCTGGTCCTCCAGCCCTTTGATGAGTTTGGTTGCCCTTCTCTGGACTCTCTCCAGCTCAAGGACATCCCTTCTCTGCACCGGTGCCCAAAACTGCACCGCATACTCCAGGTGAGGCCAAACCATTGATGTGTAGAGTGGCAAAATTATAGACCTGCCCCTGCAAAACATTCCCTTCTTGATGCAGGACAGGACTCTACTAGCTTTACTTACAGCAACCTGGCACTGTAATCTATTATTAGGTTTGTGGTCTACAATGACCCCCAAATCTTTCTCCATTTCAGACTTCCCCAGCGGCATACCCATAATTGTATAACCCATTTGCTTATTTTTAATACCAAAGTGCATAACTTTGTATTTATCGACATTAAAACACATATGATCACACATCGTTGGGAATGTTGTCAGGAACTCCTTCTGGTTATACCAGTTTATGTTCTACGTTCAATGGTCCTTTAGTTGTCTTAGCTGCTACTATTTCCAGGATGATTCCACCCTCCTTATTGTTGTATTGATGACACAAAATGCAGAAAAACTAGAAATAAATAGTACATTATGGTTTTACAGAAAATACCGGAGATGCCAGCTTTACCCAGGCTCCCTCCCATACATACAAAGCAGCATGGAGGGGCTCAGTGAAGGTGGCGGTGAAGGTGTGGAGGTGTTTGATGGGGTCACATAGCTGGTAGTAGGACAGACGGCCGGCTTCATAATCCAAATATAATCCCAATCTCTGCACAGAAGGCTCAACGGTTACCTCCTGTGATTGAGAGTCATGCATAGCTTTATAACTGTTTTCATATGTACAGAAACTCCAGGACTTGTTGTTACACCCAATACAAGACTCCTCTCCTCCTCTCTCTATACTGGGATAGCAAACACCCACCTCCCAGTCCCCACAGTCACTGACCTCTACTTCCCAGTAATGTCTCCCATGGGAAAAGCTCTCCATACTCATCACCTGCTCATTTTTTGTAAATCTCTCTGGTAATTTTGCTTTTTTCTTATATATTTCAGAGTAGGACGCTGTTCTCAGGTCATCGGATAAAGTCACAGCTCTATGGGCAGTTTTTTCATCCAGTAGCAGATCCGGTGAATCCTGGATACAGAAGTTGCATTTTAATTGCATATTAGTGATAAGAGCTGTTATAGATTTATGCAGCACAAGTGAGATCATGAAATCATCCAGATCACGCACAGAAGCTCCCTCCACATTCCGGTCACCTGTGTCTGATCCCAGATCTTGTAGGACTTCAACAGAATCTGAGACCTGATCTTGTAGGACTTTGTCGGTATCTGAGACCTGAGCTTGTAGGACTTTGTCGGTATCTGAGACCTGATCTTGTAGGACTTTGTCGGTATCTGAGACCTGATCTTGTAAGAATTTGTCGGTATCTGAGACCTGAGCTTGTAGGACTTTGTCGGTATCTGAGACCTGATCTTGTAGGACTTCATCAGTATCTGATCCCGGATCTTGTAGAGCAGTTATTGGGTCGGTCATGTTACATATCTTCTCAATGTGACAAATTTTCCTGTACAACTCATCCTTCTGTATCTCCAACTGTTTGGTAAGATCAATGACCGACAGTGAGATCTCCTCCCTGTGCCTGGAGATCTCACTCAGGACTTTCTGCTCCTGGACCTCCAGCTGTCTCCTGAAATCCTCAAACAGGGCGGTGACTCTCTTCTTCTCATCATCTTCTTTTGTTTGGACTTCCCTCGTGTGGTCCTGTAGATTTAGAATTTTCTGTTCAGTTGCCTCTCTCTTCATAGTCAGTTTTCCTAGGACACCTCTCAGCTTCTCCTTCTTCTTCTCAAAAGCATCTTCCAGAAGTTCCACTTCATGCCCTTTATGTTTCCCCACCAGACAGCAGGACACACATAGGCAGACGGCATCCTCGGAGCAGTAATACTCCAGAAGCTTTTTGTGGATGGAACATTTTTTACTACTGAAGGACATGGTGGGTTCCATCAACACATGGTCCACTGCCTTGTTGTGGGCTGTCAGGTGCTTATCACACATAGAGGTCTCACACTGCACACAAGTCTTAATGGCTGCTGCTGGAGAATCCACACAATACGTACAGAAGATCTCACTCTTCTCCTCTTTTACTTGTGTAGATCTAAAATTTTCCACAATGTTACACAACTTCCTGTTCTTCTCCATTGTAGGAAGTTCCACAGACTCCTCTCTGCACTCCGGACAGGTATAAACTCCAGACCCCTCCTGTGTATCCAGAGCAGTCACAATGCAGCCCTGGCAGAAGTTGTGTCCACACCTCAGGGACACCGGCTCTGTATAAAGGTTCAGGCAGATGGAGCAGCTCATCTCATCTCCTAGAGCAGCAGACGCCATTCTGGGAACAAGGAAGAGGAAATTAAACTGAAAATTGTTTTGTAGTAAGAGCAGAGTCATATCTGCAAGGAAATGCACCTATGGTGTCCCGCCCTGCTCCTGGCCACCAGTAACATCACAGGTTGTCAGGAGCTTGACCGGGACATCTGCCAGAGCATCCCAAGTTGCCAAGTGCCCAGCAGGGAGATGTGTATGGACCATACACATCTCCCCGCTCGATGGTGGAGGAGCAAAAAAGCTCTCTCCATGGGTTGGTGAACCTTCGCTGACCCACTGAGTGGCGCCCAGGGCATGTAGCATACCCTGGATATGCCACTGATTAGGACGGTGGAGGCTTCACCAGTTAAGCCTTATGGGAGGACATAAAAACCCAAAGCAAGATAGTTTTACTTATTGTTCCTTAAAGAAGAGCTAGTGGGACTACCCCTGAACTGCACGGGATAGGAGCTTGCCTTCGGTAGGGGACATTATTCAATTGTTATCATTTTAAACCTATTAAAGTTATACACTAAAAAAATATTTGTTGGATTTAATTACAATTTTTTTGTAGCTTTATGCAATAAAGCTTCTTAAGTATTTTCAACATTTTACATTTTTAAGTAGATTAGAATAAAAACAAATACTTAACCACAACTTATATTTCTGTTTAAATTGAACAAGTATTACTTTAAGGAAAAAAAAATAAAATTAACAGCAACTAAACCCAACAGTACACTCACCGGTCACTTTATTAGGTGCACTGCTCATTAACATATCTAATCAGCCAATCACATGGCACCAATTCAATGCATTTAGGTAGCTAGAAGTGGTCAAGATGATCTCCTGACGTTCAAAACGAGCATCAGAATGGGGAAGAAAGGGGATTTAAATTACTTTTATAGTATTTGAGGTTGAATAGACACATGTCCATCAAGTCCAATCATCTTGTGTGGATGAAAATGCCTCAGAGGTCAGAGGAGAATGGGCAGACTGGTTGGAGATGATAGGAAGGCGACAGTAACGCAAATAACCCCTCGTTGCATCCGAGGTCTGCAGAATACCGTCTCTGAGCGCACAACACGTCCAACCTTGAATCAGATGGGCTGCAGCAGCAGAAGACCGCACCGGGTGCCACTCCTGTCAGCTAAGAACAGGAAACGGAGGCTACAATTCGCACCGGCTCACAAAAATTGTACAATAGAAGATTGGAAAAACTTTGCCTGGTCTGATGAGTCTCCATTTCTGCTGCGACATTCGGATGGTCGGGAAGAGAAGTGATAGAACGGCGTACAGTCCGTACCCCATACATTGCACCTAGCATAACGCTCGCAAAGGGCGAGCACTCATTGTTCAGTACAGTCACCTGACCATGCTGACCAACGAGCGCTTGCGTGCTTGCCATTTGCATTATGTTGGATGCTCGGTGAAGGGATGCAGTACGGTGTATGGACCATACACTGGCTTGTACAACCATGACCAGCGGGAGTGAAAACATGGAATTGCCCTTTAGGATACTTTTAATACCTTTCTTACATATAGTATTAGCTGAAGCAAAGAATCAGTGTTTAGATGTACTTACATGATCTTTGTTCCGCTGCCACCTCCCCCCTGGCCTTCTAGACCGGTCCGTGTCCTCTTCTGTCCCAAGCTCTGGCAGTCTAAGGACACAACCCTTAGCTCCCCCTTATCACATCACCGTGCAGACCCGCTCATAGAACACACCTCGCCCATCCACTGACACCAAGCATCCTCTTTCAGAGGCAGAGACTCAAGAACACGTGGTCTGCTGCCATTTAAATTCCGGGCTTAGCTCCGCCCTCTATTCCCTCATACCCCGCCTTCCTTTTCATAAGCCCGCCCACCCCGTCTAATAGTAGCCTCTCCTATCTTCCTAAGCCCGCCCATCCACTGCTAAGGCAATACAGAAACGCATGTTGGCGCATGTCAGCGCTGCGCTTCTTAGCACACGCGTGTTATGAGCCCTTTCATCAGAATACTTTGCTTTGTGTGGATGGTCTTTATCACAGATCAGAGGACGAGGGAGGCCAGACCATGCGCAAGGTATCGCTGTCCATCGTACGTCTTTGGAAATTGACAAGCATGCTGGGAAATGATCACGAGACCCCCAACATACCCCAATCCAGACCCAGAAGAAGCCGGGAGGCATGGAATGACACCATGTGACGAGGGAGCGTGTAGCCGCCTTCCGGGCCAAACAGAAAGTCGGGCGGAGGGTAATGAAGCTGGCTTGATGCTAATTGGCCAGGAAGCCAGCTTGACAGCCAATCAGCATGGAGACAGCCAAACTGCATGGAGACGCCTTCCCGGCCGATCAAGACACCGGACGGCGGGTAATGACCCGCTGTTTGGCTTCCTCATAGCCTCCATACCAGAGGAAGTACCGGCTTCCTAGAGTATCGGTACCGGCGAGTACCTGATTCACACTTGTATGCTGCTGCATTGCTGAATGGCACCCCAACGCACCTTCCAAATGCACCAGCATTGCTACACCCGGTCATGCACCATCATGCATTGTGGAGCGCTGCATTGCTAAAAATGATTTTTTTATTTGAATTAGCGCATTAGGCATTCCAATCAAATGAAGGGAGTTAATGCAGCGCACAGATGTAAACAAGGCATTTAAAGGACAAGTGCACTTTGAAACAAAGTGCATTTATCCGTTTTCCCCTCCCCCTCCATACCCGACTCAAACAATCCCACCCTCCCCCTCTGTAGATCCGTGCTTACTGAGATCTGATGGGCACCGTTCCGCTATTGTTTCCATCCAGAGCCATGATGCTCCCCCTGCTGGCCGCACCTGCACATTACAGCCCCATAGACTTCTACAGGGCCGTCTCCGGGTTCAGAGCTGTCGAGAAGCTGATGAAACATGTTATTGATCGGTATCTTACTGTGCGGGAGGTATTGGGGTGTCTTGTTGTACAATCCCGTGAGAAATATATAAGAACGGAAATTTTTGGACCTGGAGTTTGGCTCGGCTCTAAACTTTAGCCCGTGACATACAAGCAATTATAACTATAGCAGGCACAGGGTCTGTCCGATTGAAGTCTGCCATATGATATACACACAATGCTCCTCGCAGTGGCCGTGTGATCTAAGCTTTTTTTATTTATTTTTTAACCACTTAAAGACCTGAAGTGATGTATCATACAACACTTCCGCATTCTTGCAGAGGAGATCGTGTAACGATCTCCCTCTGGTCCCCTGTGACATGCTGATCTCGGGCTCGCACCGGGCACAGCGGAGCCCGGGATCAGCGGGACAATGGCGGGGGGGGGGG